CGTGTGTGAAACCTGTTGTTCTGTTTCACTTCATTAAAAAATCAAAAATATATAAACTGATGATAACATCTGCAATAAATTTTTTTTGAAAGATAGATGAATCATGAGTCATTGATTAATTATAATTAATGATTATAAATTGTTCTTCGAGTTTTCATGCTTAGGCTTATATCCTTCTGGATGGACGTTACGTTTCCTGAGCTTTATTCCAAGGAACTATTCGTTTCAAGGTTTCCATGAGGTGCTCCAATTACCACATTGTTCTGCTTAAATGCTCATATTCATTTTGCAAAATTTATAAACACCAATCTCAAGCATAGCACCTCATTAAAGTATACGCAGATCAACACACTTTGCTAGAGCATCTGAACACGACAAGATTGGTCATTGCTGCAACAAGTAAACCATCGCACGTGAATAGATTCGAACCAAGTGTCCATCGGATGTTACAGCACGATCGTTTGAACGTAAATAAGAAACACATTTTGCATCAATTTCAAATGAAACAATATTTATTTGACAGCGAACAATCAAAACGCACAGTATAAATTAATCATCAATACTTATATTTAACAATGAACATTCACTAGTGTACATCAGATCATTTGGAATTAGCATTTAGCATATGTGTTATAATATTATAATTTAAGTAATTCAAAACGGAGAACACGTCAAATGAGATCGACTTTCAAAGAGATCCAATGAATCACTCAATTCTAGATATCCAGCGTTCAATTTCGTGTTTCCTTCTGATTGCGGTAAATTGAAAAAACTAACTTTGTAGCATTCCTGAAATATTCTTTACATTAGGCATATATACAACTCACAAGGAGACAGCACTGACGTAGGATAACAAGTCTGATTCAGCTCTACAATGATAGAGCTGTTCATGATGATTATGAAAATGTTCTCAGAGTCTCCTAAACGCATTCATAAAGCTTATTTGACTTGCTAGTAAACATTTTTGAAGCGATGATCACTAAATTGATGAGAACTTCAATAAATTAATTTCGGATACTTTCTCACTGAAATGGGAAGAATTGTGCCAAAGACAGATCAAGCAAATTCGCTGTTAGAAGTAAGTAACGTTTGAACAAAAATCGCACGGGAATATAGCAAAGAAAACGAACCTCAATGGGGTTTTCATAACAATGATGCAGTACTTTGAGGACAACAGGTGCTCCATCAGCTTCAACTCCTTTTATATAAAAAATTCCCTTCCTGTTGTTCACTTCGTTAAATCCACCAATTTTTTGAATGGGTGCTAAAATTAACTCAGAGTTAGTTAACCTTTCCAAACGATTGACTGGTTCCTTTGTTTATAATCAGATGAGATTTGTGTGTATCATACACTATATCATACATCAAAAATTACTGACCAGGAAAGGTCATGAACTTAATCTGGCGTTTCCTGATGAAATATACATCACATTGTCGAGCTCCTCGAGCTGATCATGAATACGTAACTAATTTTTG